GGGCTGATGTTGCATAGATATATATTCACCTAGTAAAGTTAAAGTATAAACATGGTACCGAGACATACCATACGGGAACATTCCACAGATAACATGGAACAGGCCGACCCATCCCAATGACAGGGGCAAAAGGGTAAAATGATGGATAAAGTTGTTTTGATCGAACCAACATGTACAAGGTGAGAGGCGGCACCTTACTATGTAGAGGGGTTGCACCTTGCTGAGTAGAGGGGTTGCAACTCAATACGTCAGGAGTGATGTATAACTTGTTTGTACCTGTGTATAAGAATGTATCCTTGGGGCGGTATCTTTGTCCGGCCGAGGGGGCAGTGGAAAGTCCCGCCACTGACTGAGCTGAGTCCATTGCCGAGCGGCACTTTCTCGTAGTATGCCTGGTAGACTAAGTAATCTACGGGGAACTGCAATTGTGTCAGGGTCGCAATAAACCTGGCCGAGGTGCCTTCGTACCTTACTAGAGTCTGTGGTCATTGGGGGTTCTCGTTGGGTCTGCTGTGTCAGCTATTTGCAGAGCTGGGACCGCACACAGAGGGAACACACGCACGCAGCCGAGTGATATCAACATAGGAGCAAGCAGAGCACCACACCGGTAGCATCTGACATCAGACACGACCAGTGATGCTGCTAGAGAGTGTGCATACAGCTATTCAAACCCTTTTACAGGGACATAATACTTCTTTTCTGACATCTTAGACGTAGGTGGAATGGAAGAGAGGGTCTATCACAGCGATTTGGCAATCTTAAGGAACCCTGAGTGGACAGATAGTGCGACCCGGGCTGGGGTGGAGGAGGATATAACATTAAAGAGGTCATCAATCTCCTCTGCGGCCTCAATTTTTAAGTTCAAGTTGGTAGCCACCCTTTTAAGGAGAGCCTGGTGTTCCTTGAAGTCATCAGGGGGACTGCCCGTGTGGGAGGGACCCGCCATTGCTTTGTCTGGAGCTGATGACGATGATTGCCCCGCCGGGGGAGGGCCAGGTTCCCCTTCCTTCTCCAGGGACGGCTCCTTGGGTGCTGGAGTCCAAGGCGCTGCCCCCGGGTCTGATTCGGTACCATGTTCCGACTCTGGTGCCAGCAATGCCAACAGCAGTTTGTCTGAGGCAGCCAGGGAGGACTGGTGGGAATATGGGACTGGCATTACAGGCACACCCCACAAGTTCCAGTATGGCCATTGAGCAGGCCACTGTCCCTGCTGCCATGCCAGAGTTGCAGATACCGCATGGGTTTCGCAGGTCCCAATCCAACTCCAACCATTGCCCTTCCAGCATCCAGGGCAGAGCCATCAAGGCCTGAGTTTGCTGACTGACCCTGGTCGGCAACCAGCGAGGATCAGTGCCTGCCCAACGAGCGGTACCAGGGAGATGGAGACCGGTGCCACGGCAGGGAGCGATCCTGCCCAGGTGGGGACCAACGTCTGGGAGATGGTTTGAGCAAAGGTGACCTAGGCCGTGATAATCTTTGCCAGGAAGCTCGCCAGTACTGGTGGCATGGGGACCGGTGCCTCGACTCCAGTGTCCCATGTCTCGTAGGGGAAGAGCGCAGTGTCAGGGACTTGGGTCTTCTGACCGGAGATGCAGTGTCGGGGTCCTAGGCCAGAGATGGGTATCTGCGTCTGCGGTCCAGTGACCGAGGATGCTCCATTGCCCTATGGGGCAGTCCCATGATCAGCTTGCCCTTAGGTGTTGGGGCCTTAGCCAAGTCTGGACCCTGGTGCAGTATCTGCAGTGCGGTCGGCCTGCTTTTTCTTTGGTTGACGGGCAACTTCTGGCAATGAGGGCCCTAAGAGAAGCCGGGCTCCCCTACCCCTCTCAGGAGTCAGAGAGAGGAGGCTGCAGTTCCTCTGCAGGGCATGACGACAGGTAGAGACACTGCCAGATGAGGGCAGCGCCTGGCAAGAGCTAATTCCCAGAGCCACCAGGAGGCAGCGCAATGTGCCGTGAGTGGACCCCATGACACTGCCCTTAAAGCTGCAAGATGGCTAATATATGGAGATATACCTATCTCATAGAACTGGAAGGGACCCTGAAAGGTCATTGAGTCCAGCCGCCTACCTTCACTAGTAGGACCAAGTTCTGATTTTGCTCCAGATCCCTAAGGGCTGAACTCTCAACCCTGGGTTTAGCAGGCCAATGCTCAAACCACTGAGCTATCCCTCCCCCATGGCTGAAGACACACTGTTTGGATCTGAAGGTGAGATAACCCTAATTTTTTCCTAATGTTATACTGCACTAAGATTCTTGGATACAGGAGACTCCAAACAACTTTGACTGTATCAAGTCATCTTGAATACTGAAGGATACATTAAATGTATACAGTACACCCATGCTAGAATGCCTTTCACAATAATGAACCTTGGGCTGTAACAAACCCTGGGGGCTGGCGGAGCTATCACACACACAGGGCCGGCTCCAGGGTTTTTGCCGTCCCAAGCGGCGCAAAAAAAAAAAAAAAAAAAAAAAAAAAAAAAAA